CTTTCCTGCCCTTGTGACTTTGCCCCACCCAGACACATGTGTGAAGGAAAAATTATCTCCTGTTTTCTCACTTTCTAATGGGGTTTTACTGCAGCACTCATTCCTTGTCCTGGGAGCCCAAATTCTACACCCCTACTTGTACAATGGGGCACCAGTGCTTACCAGTTTCCCCCAGGTTGTTTGCTCCTTTAGGAGGGTTTGAGCTCAGCTGCATCTTTTCTCTGGTTGCTGGTTGTTCTTGGCCACCTAGACCCTGTAGCTGCTGTGCATTTCTGCTCTTCTTCCTCAGACTTGCAGCTCCTTTCTTGGACTCTGGACACTGTGTATGCAATTCTAGCAAGGCAAATCTACTCCTCTCTCTGGGACCTTGTAGTTTTGGTTTCAACAAAGATGTCCTGCCCTTCTTGCTCAAGCATCTCTTTCTTTTCTCCTGTGTCCCTGACTTTTTTGATCCAAGTAAAGAACACTCTTCCAACTTCTCTGGCATATCTACCTCCTCCTGAGGTTTTGGTTCAGACAAGGATTCCTGAGCCCCTAAATTCTTATGATCTGGGATTTGCATCTTCAGTATCATTAGGGAGTCAGTGCTTTTCATTTCAGTACTACATGTGCCCTTTCTGGGCTGCAGCACCTCTAGTTCTGGCAAACAGGAAATATCTCTCTCTGTCCTCTCAATTTCCTCCTCCAAGGATGACAATTGTAATTCTATATCCATAAAGGAATATTTGTCTTCTTTTCCTGAGCTCCCTGAACTCTCCTGGAAATCTGAGAGGTTCAGTTCTTCTGAGCTATGCTCTTTCCTTTCGATCTCAGCTGACAATTTATTTTGCAAAGTAGTTCCTGAGAAAAATAGCTGTTGACCTTGTTCTGTCCCTCTCCTTACAGTGTCTTCTGAGCATGCTGCCACAGCTGTGGTCGCTGCCTGCCAATCTTCACATACAGCAGTGTCTGGAATTGGCAGAGCTACACCCTTCTTGCTCCTGACAGCCCTCCTAGCCTGTATCCCCTTGTTTTTTTTACCCGCATCTCTTCGGCTTCTCTCACCTTGTTCCTTCTGCATGGGCACAAGAGGAGCAAACTGCTCACAGGAAACAATGGAGAGCATGTCTGGTTGCAGGCAAGAAGGTAAGGGCTCCTCAGATTTTTTCTTTGGTGCCAGGTGAGGACTCTGCTTGACTACCAACTTCGTCCCTGGCTCATGTCCTACCCCTGCATCCAGAGAGCCTGGGCTGCTTCCCATCCTGTCAGTTGACATCACCTTGCTGGCAGTTACCGCTTTCCTTGACCTTAACTGCAGCATCATAGGAGCCTAGAGACAGCGACAAAATCCACAAATCCACTTGCCAGTGCACCCATAACAGCACCCCACCTAGCCCAGCACCCCAGAAGGGCACAGGCCCAACCAGGACAGGAGCACAGCCTCCCTCAGAGTGACTCCGGGGGAGTCCAGTCTGATAGAAAGCCCAGGCCGCCTGGGGAAAGCCCACGGCCACCAGCGA